ACAGCAAATCATACATAGAAATGGAAAGAAGTGGGGCTGCACCAAGAAAGTGGTCATAAGTCTTTCCAAATAAGGAAATTCTGAAAATTAAAAGATGTGCAAAAGGTATTGTTTTGGTACAGCATAAAAAGCAGCATAGGCAAAGTGCAACAACAAAATACAGCATATCAATAAGCATGGAAAGAAAGGGGAAGACATCAAAAAAGGTGGCATTGAACACTTCCAAGTAAAAAAAATATGATATTTTGAAAAGAGGGAAAACCATAGGTTGCTGAGATAAGAAGGAGGGGGTTGTAAACAAAGAGGGGCATACACTACACATTGAGAGAAAAAAGGAGAGAGCAAAAAGATTTAAAACCAGAAAAAATAGAGAGAACAAGAAACCCTAAAAACTAGAAAAAGAGAGAAAGAAAGAAACACAAGAGAGCCTCTTGAAGAGCAGAACCTTCACAACATAGAGTGAAGAGTGAAGAGCACATCCAACCAAAAACCAGTAGAGGTCTTGCAAGAAGGAGAACAAACTCTTTGGTATCCATTTCTTCAAACTTTTCCTTTTTTGTACTTTGCACTTGTCATTTATTTATCTCTGTTAAGTTATTTTGTGCTCCCAAGGGGGACCAAAAAACCATTTTTAAGAACCACAAAAAAGAAAGGAAAACAAGAAAAGAGCTTGGTTTTTTCACCCAGATGGTATGACACGGGCCGTTTCGTGCGACACGGGCAGCCATGTCAGCTCTGTATTTGAGATTTCATGGCGCAAAACACCCAGGTCTCCTGACACGGGCCGTGTCACACGACACGGTCGACCGTGTTGCACCTCTGTTTGAGTTTTCATTGTGTATTTCACCCAGGTCTCCTGACACAGGCCGTGTCACACGACACGGCCGACCGTATTGCACCTCTGTTTGAGTTTTCATTGTGTATTTCACCCAGACCTCTTGACACGGGCCGTGTCACACAACACGGCCGACCGTGTCACACTTCTGTCTTGCCTCAAAAACCCTTATTGAAAGCATCTTATGACACGGGCTGTGTCACACAAAACAGTCGGCCGTGTCAGACCTTTATTTTTCATTTTTTTTTGTTGCTATTTTTACCTTTAAAAAAAATTTTGTGGTTGTAAGTTTTTGTACGTGAATACTTTGTTATAGTCGTTTTTAACCTTTGTTATAAAAACCATTTTTAAAAGTAAACTCTCGATTTTGTCGAGCCAATTTCAACCTTGTAAGTCGGTTGCCTTGCGCACCGCCATCGACCTTGATAGCATCACTTCAAATATCTTTATAAACAATAAACTTTGATCCAACATCAAGTGGTTCGCTTTTCCCATAAAAATCCAAAACACAATAAAATATACGATTATAATTATGCACCATGAACTTTAAAGTGGCGGAGAAGGAATGAGAATGGAACCCTCCTACACTCGTTCCGAATGTTTTGAATACAAGGCGCTCGACTTGGTTATTCGAGACATTCATCTCTATCCATAGTCTTTTGTATAATCCCAGTCAAGAATAAATTCTTTTCCTAAAAAAACCTAAAAACAACACCAATTCATCAAACTATTTTCTGCCTTAGGGCATCAATCCAAAAACCCTTTTTCAAGGTATAAAATCAACCAACAAACAATCATTTCTTAAGTGGCCGAACTACGGCTGCTCTGATTTCTCACACATGTTGAGAATACGTAGGCATAGGATTGCGATGATCCTAGCGAGCACACTTTTCTTTCTTTCCCACCTTTAGTCATCCATACCTTTTAACCCAAGGACATGTTGCGTCCGTTCTACCACAAATAGGTAATTCCTAAGTCTCCAACGAGCGAGCAGCAATACACCTAACTGCTAGAATGCGCACATTAGCATTGTCTACCCAACGTCTCGTTTTCACCGTAGTCCCATGAACTATGAATGCTCTGATTCTTCACTTCCTACAAGTGAATATACGTAGGCACAAGGGCCTTAATCCTTGGCGAGCACTCTAATAAAAAACCAACCCCTATTCTCTTTTAAGAAAGCAAACTTGTAGAATAAAACACTCATTCACGCCAAACAACCTAGAAGGTTCCCATCGAGTACGATGGATGCGAGGGGGTGCTAATAACTTCCCCTTGTATAACCGACTCCCGAACCCTAAAACTTGGTTGCAATGACCATGCTCTTTTCCTAAAGGTTTTATCGTTATTTCCCTTTTCCTCCTTGGGATAAATAAAATCCGGTGGCGACTCTGTGTCATTTTTCGCGTAGCGACACACTGATTGTCAAGAGTGTGGAGAGACATGGTGTGCATAGCTACCTCAATGTTTGTCGGTGTCAGAGATGATGTAGTAGCTACATATGCTTGAGCATGATGTCCTAGAATACCAGGCTCTTCGGAGGACGGTAGGGTGTGTCCATTTAGACATGGGATACAGATACAGAGGCATAGCCCATGGTGGTGGAGTCAAACCTCATGGTATCTAAGCTGGGTAATGTTGTTGTTGCTGCCAGGGAGAAGAATGTCATGAGGAATTAGTGTTAGGAGCTCCAGTCTGAGACCTACTACGGGTACCACGTCCCCCTTCGTGGCCTTAGTTTCCACGAGAGCCAGAACGGTTTTTGAGGCGGCGGTTGCAATGTTGAGTGGTGTGCACGGCAGCATGAGAGCAAGTGCTTGTCATTTTAGCTATACCAGCTTCTTCTAAGGTGAGTATGGAGCGAGCATGATAGAATGCAGAAAGAGGATTACTCTAGCGAATAAAGGTGGCAACACTGTGATAAGCTTCTGGAAGACCAGATATCAGTTGAAGAACCAGTCTGTGATTGTTGATAAGAGAGCTGACATTTCTACAGGTCAGAGAGCATATTAAGACGTTGACAGTAAGCGGAGACATTAGGAAAATCCTCTATACGAGTGTTGGAGAAATCTTGCTCAAGAATGACAACACGAGCATTTTAATTATCCTGAAAAATATATGCCAAACGATTTCATGCTTCCATTGTAGTGGAGACGGGTTCTAGAATAGTGGTCAGCAAGTTAGCAGAAATAGTGGAATAAATCCACTGAAGAATAATGGCATATAAAGTGGTCTATTGTTCATGCTCGACATCGTTAGGGGCTGGTGGTGATATTCATGTAGATGGAAGGATGTGATGTAGGACTCGATGTAAGCGAGAGTAAATGCGGAAAAGCTCGGCCCAGGTTCCATATTGATCTTTTTTCATATCAAGAATAATAGGAATGTGGTTCCTAATATTGGAAACGGCAAGGGCGGGATGAAACTACATTTTTGAACCTTTGATCATATTGACCTTGGGCTGCCCGAAATCACCAATGGCAGAGGCAGTTGGACAAGTATTGGAGTTATTATGTCCTAAATTATACATGATTTGCATTGGAAAAGAAAATAATTACGAACAGTAAGCACGGTGTGGAGAAGAAAAGGCACCGCGCGGTGGTGTTGTGCTCGTCGAAAGGTCGAAACAGAGATCAGAATCGAACATAGATTTGAATCGCGAACAGAGTGAAGAAGAAACACGTGGGTTCTTATGCACGGTGGTGCAGTGTGCGTCGACGGCAACGAGAACAGAGCAGAGGGCGAGAAACACGATGGTTCTCGTGTTCGGAGACAACGATACTGTCACACCCTAATTTTTTACCATAAGATCCCACCTCTTTGTGTGTTTTCTTGTGTTTTATCTTTTTACTTTTGTATACATGTTTATTATGGTTAACCAGTTTATGCAGGTGCAGTAACACCAAGCATAGATCCTTATAGTCACATATTACAAGGTGACCGTTGGATTATAGAGATCCTGGGATTATCCTACTGGTCGTCCCCTCAAGGCTTCTTAGGAGTTTCATTGTTCACCCCAGAGGTTTAAGTTGTTCTTGGTATTGGGCATAGACATTTGACGTTTTGCTTTAATTCATGGGGAATAGCATCGCAGTTATGGCTTTATCTTCAAGGTTTCTTTAAGGTTTAATTTGCATACCAAGTTACATCATCATCTTTGATTTTGTCGTCATTAATAAGGGTGATTTTGTTGGTAATTTAATACGGCAAACATAGAATCATGATTGAGGTTCGGGTAATGTATATTGTCAAGGCAAAGTATAATTTAACTCATTGGCTGGTAAAACCTTAAGTTGCGTTGGGGTTCATCCAAAGGTGCACAACTCAAGAGTTTTAGATAAAAGGAACCCTGTAATTTCCCCGTGTGTGTATTTTGCTCATAACAAGCATGTTTTTTTAGCCTCATGGAAGACGAATAAGTGGAACAATGGGTTGAGTATCGATGTGTTGACCAACATTTTGAATGGAATAGTGTTATGTTGACACCATGTTAACTTATACCGTATGTACACCGTTAAAAAGAAAACTTCCAAGCATTTCACTTTGGCACCAAATTAAAGCATGCAAAATATTATTTTAAAAATAGAAAATGATACACGTAAAGGTATTTATATACTTTATTAACATTTCTCTCTTGAATGTCATGTACTGGACATTGTATTTCGGTTCCCGAGATCACAAAGAAACATAAAGCACAAAATAAATCGAAAGAAAAGCCTTCTTAAGTGCTTCGGTTAAGTTGTTCCTCAAAGTTCGGTTAAGTTGTTCCTCAAAGTTGTGGGTCGTAGATCCACCGCTCGTTACTATCTAGAGATGCTTCCAATGTACACTGCTTGCACATTAACGGTGACCACGCTCGTAAGAAACCTGTTCCAAGAAATAGATTATTTTAAAAGAGCTTACGATAGAGTTGCTTCAACCTGGTGAGTAATTGAAGCATTTCGTAAAGGCAATCAATAATACTGTTGGAATTCGGTCAATGGGCCTCTCCATTCGAATGGAACTGTCGGGGATCTCAGATTTAACCAGGCAATATGGTTTCATTACTGACTGTTGCGTCAACCGCCAAGGATACGTACTCCTCCGAATTATTGATATCATCTATGCCACCTCTTGGTTTCAATTCCTCTTTAGGAAATAGAATTACAATGTCATTGTCCCATCTTTAGCAACACCTACTGATATCAACCACGTGCAGCCTGAAATTCATATAGGACGAGCCTCTTGCGAGAGGTCTCATGTATACATCTACAGGGTGTCTCTCCATGAGCACCTTGGGTGATAAGTGTTGCTGCTGGATCGCGAATTCTGTGAAAGTCCTAAAATTGAGCAACATTAGAACACAATCTAATCAGAATGGAAATTAATCACGACGAGAGAATCACGACAATTCGACAACAGAAGCATGTTGTCACAATCACTGATTAAATCATGCAAACAAGGGAAAGGATCAAAATGCAATCTAAAAGTGGAAAGAAGATATCATCACCATACCTCTTACCACACTTCCACACCAATGTTCTGAATCGGTGCCGGCGGGGCATCTTTTCCTTTACGAATTACGATAAATGTCGCCGCTGTTGGGGTGAGTTGAAGGAGATACGGAAGGTTGTCAGATTGTTTTACACGAGAGACGTCGAGACCTTTTGTTTTGGAGTCCTACTTCCACTCTGTAAGTTGTTCGATTTCGAATAAAGTCTCCATCGCTTTTCTTCAAAACCTACAACAAGATGACCAGAGGAGTTACATTCAGCCTTATTATCACCATGACTGGAAAGAATTATCAACCAAGAGAATTTTCAACTTTAAAGCTTACAAAGATTAAAACTCAGAAGGAACACTTGTATTTGGGAACTAGCCCGCTCCTTTGTCTGGACGGCAAGCGCCAGCTCGAAAGTCTCTGCAACCAAGTAAAGGAGTAAGAAACAACAACGGGTTATTGAAACATAAGCAAAACGACTCATAATGAGAAGAAATAAAATACCTCAAATGAGACCATCGTCACAATCTCATTCCACTCCAAAACGGTCCGCAGGAGATCATGACAGACTGGATTGTGAAGGAGAATTTATGAGAAATGTTGATCCTGTACAAACGAGGGGTGATCAAAACAGAGGTCCTACCGCAAGATCTGGTTGTTGCTAATAAGTTGAAGAACACTCCAGGCCTCTCGTTGGCATTCTTTCCTCATTTTCCTTTTGCAAGGCGTCCTTGATTCACTTGAATAACCTGAGCAAGAGCGGAGCATTAATTCAACATTCCAAGAGCAATCAATTTCGTTTTGAATAACTTAGAACAAATTCCGAACATATCCGGATCGAAATGGAAATAACATTACAGGCATTATCTGGTTCCCAAAACTGTACCGACACGACATGCTGAAATAGGAAATTCTCATGTCAAACCAAGAATAGAAGGAGTTTCAATACGTATTCATTAGGCAGAAGACATGTTCATTATAACCATCACGTTCTTTCCAAAACCACATTTGACAGTATAACCCACCATTCAATTTCGACATCAAAACTTAAATGCACATTTAGCCTATAAGAAGGGGTTCAAAACTCAGAATCAGGACGGGGGAGTTCACCACCCAATACAACAATCCCAAATAAAAACTTAAGAATTAGTAAGGAGAAAAGTAGGAAGACTTATCCTTTTGTAAAACTCCACCGCGAATTCATCTTGAAACTGCCGCGTCGGGAATCGATAAGCTTCCGTCGAAATCCTCAAGCCCTTTCCTTTTTCACAGACGCCATCGTCACTTCTGCCGTCGCCACTTCGCCGAGAACGGGGCCCCCATCATCCTCGTAACCGTATTTTCTTTTTCTCACATTTGTTTTGTGAGCTTTTTTCTTTAGGTTAAGAGATGACGAAGAAATGGGCGAAGAGACAAGGCGAAGAAATGAAGGAGAAGGAAAGAGGAAACAATGGTGGAAGGCGAACAAAAAGACGGAAAAGGGGAGGCGCGACGATGAGAAGAAGACGAAACATGGGCGAGAATCGAAGGAATAGAGAGAACGAAAGAAATAAGAATGGAGGCGATGGGAGAGAGCACGGCGAGAAGATTGGAGACGAAGGAGGAGAAATCAAATTGGGACTAGGGTTATTTCATTTTTCTTAATTTTTTGTTTATTATTGTAATCCAGTGACCGCGCATACACACACATATGGTGCACCCACGCATCATCACCACTCGATCCCCTCACTCATCACATCGCACGATCTACACACTGCCGTACACGATGCACTCACACGCCTGCGTCACACCAAATCCACTCGTCCCTCTGATTAATCACGTTAACTACCCAATTATCCACTTAACCTTCAATTAACCACCTCTAATCTGCCATTAATTTAACATAATCATCAACCTTATTTTTATTTAATTAATTAACATAATCACCCCTTTTATTTAATTAAGCATTTAACTTTTATTTCAAATTAACTTTTGCTAACTATTTAGTTTATGCCAATTTAATTAATCAACTAATGTTTAAATCACTAATTCAAACCAGTTTTTTTTTATTAATTGAACTAATCATTTTTAATTAACTCTTTTTTCTATCTAATCAACTTACCTTTAATTAACTTATTTTCACTACTCTTTTATTTATTTAATAGTTTCACTATAACTTACTAACTTTTAAATAAACTTATACTTGGCTCACATTCTTAATCAAAAAAAAAATCATAATTTAATTTAACTTTTATCTATTTAATGAAATTTATTTAATAATAATAATAGTAAGACCTTTATTCAATGATAACTTTTTTCAACAATTTGAACGACTCGCACTTTATTAATAATCAACTTGTTTTTTATTAAATATTAAAACCTGTTGATAGTAACTAAGCTTTATTTACTAATTAATTGAATTAATTTGTGACCTAAAAATCCTTTTTACTAATAAACTAAATCAATTCCTTTTTCCTAAAGTTAATGTCCCTAAAATATAAAACTAATATTTCCTCATAAATCAATCCGACTAAAAATAACCCATCGTGCACGCTCTGACTCCGCTCACATTATTCACAACTCACTCACTTGTACGTCTTAGCGCTTTCATGCGTTTCTGTGCTTTTATGTTATCCGCAGCTTTTATTTACCGCAATTCATTTTATCGCATTGCATGAATGTCCAAGGGAAGAATATGCGCGTAACGTAAAACTTGTGCGTATGCATATCATATTGCATCATAATCCCCTTTGATCCTTGATCTCATTCAAGTTGATCTTTTAAGATAGATCATATCCCATAGGAAGGACCTTTGTTTTTTGTTTTACAACTTAGAAAACAAAACAATTCAACTCAATCAACCTTACTCAAACACATTAGAGAATAAGATGTTAATCATCTTAAGCGAGATAAAACTTCGACCCCATAACAATTCAATTAATATGTGAGGACTTTTTCGCTTAAGAGAGCTAGAGGCGTACTTGTCGATTAAATTTCGAGTGCTTGAGCCCTTCTCTTGAGACGATGCAAAGACTATTTTTCTACAAGTTGTGGTGGTTAAATCAAGTAATTTCCCTTAAAGTGACAACTTGTCTTTTCTCCTAAAACTAATCAATCAACTATCTTATCCTGCAGGAACTTTGACCATAGTCAAAGACTTCCTAAAACCCTTTAGGGGAACTACAATTACTCTGATTCCATTCCCGTCAGGATATGTAGGTACAAGATGCGACGTCTTGGCGAGTATACTTAGAAATAAACCATTAGGTCTTTTATCCTTAAGTAGATAACCCATAGCAATAAACAACATAAAACAAGAGGTTCTTGTAGAGTACTACAGAAACTTAGGATGCTAGCACCTTCCCTAAGTTTAACCAACCCCCGAACCAATAACTCTCTTACCTTTGCATTTGCATTGCATTGTGGGTAATTCGATCTTTTTCCCTTCCTTTGGACAAATTAAAGACCGGTTGCAAATGAATTAAGATTCAAGTTGTTGCACCCTAAAATTTGTCCAGCATATTTCACCTGGTTTATGTTTCAATTGCATTGTCATTTGCATAGTTACATCATGTACATAGTCCAATCATTTGCATATCATAGCATAACATGCCTCCAACAATGGATCAAGTGACATTTATATCAAAAGAAGCCCATCAAGGGGTCTCATCCAAGTCATCAAGAGATGTGTTGAAGTCATGAGAAGTTTGAGTGCCCACAAATGGATTTCTCTCCTAACTTGAGGTGTATTAAGGATCATCAAGGGGGTGTGAAGCATGCATTGAGGGTATGGAGTGTGTATAAAGATCATGGGATGCCTAGAAGGCCATGTTGAAGCTAAGTCAAGCCATTGATTCAAGTACAAGAGCCACAATTGAAGTGCAGTCAACTAGGGTTTCATCTAGGTCAACCCTAGGTCAACTGTGTGATTGAAGAACATCAAATCCTATTTAGAGGTCATGGGATTCATGGATTGGTATGTTGATACATGTGTGGTGTTGTGCCAAGATCAAATAAAAAAGAATCAAGAGTGGGAGGAGTTGCTAAATTAGGGTTTCAGTGTAAAATCCCCTGTTTAGTGCCTAACTTCAAGACCACATAAGTCAAGCTACAAGTTTCAAATGGATCTTTGGCCAACATGAAACTTATAGAGAATCTCAATACCTTTAATTTGAGTACTAGAAGTCTTCAAGAAGATGTGTAGAACTCAAGTTATGGTCCAGGCAAGTTATAGGTCATCAGATGAATGTGAAATTTGTCTGTGAAAATCAACCAACTTCCAAGCAACTTTTGCCCTTCAAGGAGGTTTCAAATGGACTTTTGATGAACATGAAAGTTGTTCCTTATGATCTTAGCTTTCCAAAAAGGTATAGAACACCTCATTCTGATTTGTGAAGCTCAAGTTATAATCTTTGCAAGCCAGTGGTATTTTGGGAAAGTGAGATTATAGGTCACTTTGGATTATAGGTCCATAACTCCAACTTGCAAGCTTCAAATGGAAAATTGTTCAACATGGAACTTGTTTAAAATGATGTTTTGAGTGCAACTAACTGGTCATGAGAGTTTGGTTTGGCTTGTATCACAAAGTTGCCTAAAATGGCTTAAAAAGGAAGAAATTAAAGTCATTTAAAGGCCAAAAAATGGAATTTCATGATTTATGGTCAAAACAGGTCATGTTATATATTATTTTCATCAGAAACAGCATTCTAAAGATGATGGCATTGTTACTTTTGGCATTTGAGGTCATTTTCCAAGGCTTGCATTTGGTAACTTCATGTGGAAGTAACATATCCAATCCACTTCATAAGATCAGCAACAAGGCCAATGCACATCCCATTCACTTTAAGATCTCCTGAGATGAGAAGATCAAGCAAGTTTGGAGCCAAAGCACAGCAAGAACCCGACTGTCACATTTAAATTTCTCATGGTGCAAGAGATTTTCAATATCTCATTTGATCCATTCCAGAACTCTCTAGATTGTTCTAACACATTCTATATAAGCATTGTAACTGATTCAGTTGGTTTTTTGGGTGAGAATTGGAGAGAAACAAGATCAAGCCATTGAAATTTTCTCAACTGCATCAAGAATTGAATTCTGAAATAGGAGTGATTTCAAGACAAATCATTGATTGCAGAAGCTTCACAATGAGTTCCTGAATGAATCTGGAATAGTTTGGGGTGAGAATTGAAGAGAAACGAGAGAGAGAGCGTTCTGAATTTTCTTCATTGCATCAAGAATCGTGTTTTGAAATTGGTGAAGATCCAAGACAAATCATTGCTTACAGAAGCTTCAGGGTGATTGTTTGAGTGTATCTGGAAAGAATTGGAGCTTGATTCGAAGGAAAATCTACTCTGTTCATCCACTTTTTCCAGGTATGCAATTTTCAACCTATAGCTTAGTTTAGAAGAAATTGATCAGGATTTTATGTGTAGATAGGTTAGTGATCATGTTAGGATGGATTCTGATACAAAAACTTGTGATTTAGAGACAAAAGTAGGAGTGAT